CTAGAAAAAAACTTCCAGGAAGACTGGTGAGGGTAAATAACTTTCCTGCTTGTGTGATGGAACTTGGTGTTTTCATTCAGGTATTCGATAAGATACCACTGATTCATGTGAGTTTTTCCAAACCTGCAGTACTACACGCTAAAAAAAAATTTTAGAATTATTTTCCATGTTGTTATAAAAGGAAAAAAAATGGCTTTTTATTGAACTGATAACAGGTCAAGACTGAGAAGGACAGCTTTCTCCATTATTACAACAAGCATTGTGGTTTGGAGACAAGAAACAGGAGTTCCCAATGATCCTCTGTGTTCAGGAGGGAAATTTCAAATTTGCATGACCCTATAATTAGAAGTTAGATGTACTTCTTTTATAAATTTATTCTTGTTCTGAAGATATTTTTGACCCCTTCTCTTTCTCCAACTGTTGTTGTTGTTAGCCTGGCTGTTGCTGGACTTTCTACTCTGAGCTTCATAGTGTGCTTTAGTGAGAAAAAGAGTTTTACCACACTGGAAATGTGGTGTGGCTTTATTAGTAGATTCAGCTAGTGGAAAGACCAGAGAACTTGTTTGTCCATTCACACAGCTGAAGAGAAGGTTTCCAATGTATTTTTTTTCATGTTAGCTGTGGGCAGAATTAGTGCTCATGTCTTAAATACCAGCCAGGTGTTAGTTAGCTATTTCCCTTTCCACAATACAGGGAAAAAGGTAGCACCTTACACAAATTAAAAAACTACTACTCATATTACTCTTCTCTCCCCTCCCCACCACAGACAATGTAGGAGGAGACAGTTTCTTTGGGACCACATACCTTGGTCACTTTTGCTGAAGGGAGGATGTGGTTAGCTTTCTCTTAAACATTTAGCTTGGCCTCCATAATCTTGTGCTTGGTGAGCCTCACTGGTCCGGTTTTACTGCGTAGTTTGTGGGGAACAGCTGGCTAGCGGTTCTTCCCTGTTTTATTAGGCAATGTAGTTTATAAAAGTTGTGGCCTTCAGCTTAACCATATTCCTGTGTGGAAAGTCTTGTTCACTGCAGTGTCTGGGCCAGAGACATTTGCATCGCTGCAATCAACAAGCATTTAAAACTGTTGCTCCTTAAGTGACATTAGGTTAGCAGGAAGCAAGATAGAAGAACGCCCTTCCAAAAGCAAGGATTTCCAACTTGAGTAGGAACCGGTTTTTACATGTATAAAAACAAGTGATTATTTACCATTTCCACTCACTTGTCCGTCTAGTCAGCCTCATTAATCACTGAGTTTCACTCAAGGCACAGTCATCAAGCAGTGCAGAAGAAAACACTATCTGGTAAAGACATTAGAGATGATATTGCTGAAGAAGAAACAGTTTAGATCTTATTTGCAAGTCTGTAGTGCAATTAAAAATAACAGTTGCTTTCTACTATGCTCCAGAGATGAGTGGCAAAATCAACATAATAATACAAATATGTGGTTTTTTTTTTTTAAATGCACTTTCCACTTTTCTGGCAACAATTTTGCTTTTCTTTTCAAAAAGGACACTTTCCTCATTCAAACAGACGTAATAGCAATTTCCACCTTGAAGAAGAGAAGCGCGTATGCATACCAGCACCAGAGACTTGAAATAGAAAAATTGATATGAAACACAAAAATAGAATGTGTATTGTTGTATAAGCACAGGAAGAAAAAGCAGAATAACAGTTAAAAGAATGGCTTGTATTGGTAACAGAGGACACAGCTCCTGTCAATTGCTCTGAGAAATGTGTTGTTTCCATCAAGCACCCGAAGGCGATAGCACAGATGACTCGGTATCTAATGACCCTGCATTCCTGATGCCTGATGGCAAAAAGGTTGCAGGCTCTCACACATGCTATTCCTTTTTCTGTTAGTCCAGAATTCCACCTCATTCAGCCTGATTTCCACCTTTTCTCAGCCTGCGGGAAGCACATGTCTATTTCCTACGTCACCATATGTAGGTAATGATTTTTGGTGCTTTTGAAGATACTTGCATGTAGGGAATGCAACCTTATACTATATTCTAAAAAAACCCTTTCACATTCATAAAGGTCTAGTTTGCACTTGCAAAGTTCGCATTTGCAAACACAGTTGACCATGTATGCTGCAACTACTTAGTCAGGGTAACTTAAGAACAGGGCAAAGGAACCAAAACTGGAACTGTGCTATTTCTTCTTTAAACTGAAACTGATTACCAAAAATGGTTTTCTAGTTAAACTGCAACAAAATGACAGCAAAAAAAAAGACTCTCTCTGACTGCCAGCTCCAAAAATGTCATAGAGCTCTTCCCTCCCTTTTTCTCAAGTATAGACATAGAAAACTGTTTACACCATTTGGTTTCACATATTTAGAAGTAGATTTAATTCAGTAAAAAATGATCAAGTAAAGTAATAGGCCAAAACCTGACAAAGAATGAGTATGCAATTACTTTATAGTTTGTAGTCTAAATGAAATATGGGAATTTTTAAACTGTTGTCATCGCAGTTGTCATTAACAATATTCTGAGTTACCAGTGGATTAGCAGTGAATTTTCATCAAACAAACAATATAAATTTATTTAACAATATATATTTAGGTGATGATGTTAATTTTTAATGAGCTTGGGTGATTTGAGGAGGAAAAACTAAAATAATTTAAGAAGAAAATTAAGTTTGGGGATGTGTATTATAACACACATTTCTTTGTTGTATTTCAAATGACAATATATGTAGCCTGGACACCTGGAGCACCTTTCTTTCTGATCATCCTGATTTTGCACCCTTAACCTTTCATCTTGGGGCTTGAATAAAGCCCTATTTCTCTCCAAAAGCATCATGAAGCTTTGAATTAATCTTTTATGTTTTTTTCTGACTGAGGTAGAATCTCAGGGATATGAACAGTTCCACCAACAATGTATATCAATCACATGTCTGCCCTGGTGTGAGATGTGGAGCTTTTAAATGTTTAATGACGATTGTACATTTGTTCATTATGTCACAAATCATAAAGGAAAATTTTATGCTTATCCCTTGTGTTCTTCCTTTGAAAAAATGCTGTTCAGCCAAGTCCTGATGCTGATCTTGCTTAAGTTCCTAGTTAGAGAACTTGCAGTGTAATTAGGCTAAAAGATGATTTGAAGTGGAAAATAGTTGATGAGTAAGATGTTTAATTTGATTTTAAGTATGGAGTGACAAAAATGAGTATCTCTGGTCTTCCATTAGAAATTTAAGTCTTCTATGCTCCCCTCACCCTTTTTTTTCCTTTTTTTTTTTTTTCCCAGAATGTCATTGGGAAAGCATTTGGCCACAAACATTTGAATACACGAGTAATAAGGAACCTTCTTGATGCTGCTGAAAGTTGAGTAAAAAAGTGTACTTGTAATATTGGAAATTTCAGACACACATTTCAAGAAGAAAGCCTGAAAGAGACTGAAACAAGTATGGTTTCTATTCAGGCATTACACAAGGTTGTTCTAAAAATTCTTTAAATCCACTGAAGTACATTTATATGTTAAAGAGTTCTAGCTGTCTCTATATTCAAATTGTCATGTATATAGTGTCCAAAGAATTGTTGTTACTCGTCATACTGGAAAAATATGTCAAATAGGGCTTGCAGAGATTTGGCACTATTGAATATCAGTATTAATGACTTTTGAATAGGTAATATGGTTCTTAAAGTTGTGGATATAAAAAGTTGGAAGGGATGGCATGCACTTTGGAGGAAAAGATTATAAATAAAGTTATACTGACAAATGGTACCTGAAACATAGGATGAAATTCAATGGGGAAAAGCAGAAAGCACTACAGTTAAACAGGAATAAAACTTCGACGTGGCTGAAATTTCAATAACAGGAGAGGATTCAGAAGTTTTTTAGTAAATCAAGATCAGTATGAATCAGCAATGTCATACTGTCAGAAAACAAACATCGTGCTGGGATATATAAACAGGAGTCTGTAAGACGCATGTAAGACGCATGAAGTAATACTTCCACTCTACTCAGTATTCCCAAGGCCTCAACAGAAGTACTGTATCCAGTTTTTGGCACACCATGGCAAGAAAGTGGAGAGAGGCCAAAGGAAAGCAAAAAGAATAATCAGAAGTTTAGGAAAGACAACCCAGGGAAAGACTGACAGAAGAGCAGTTGTTTAGTCTATGGGAAAGATGACAGGCTGAAGGCACAGTGAAGTTTTCAAATATGGGGAAGGTGAGAGAGGAGATTATAACCTGTTCTCTGTGGATGTGGTGCAAGATAAAGTAAACGGTCTAAAATTCAGCTTGGGCTATGTCAAGTTTTCTTAATGATTGCCTGTATGGATAGAAAAGTTCTGAGATTGTGTAAGAAAGCAGTGGCATCCCTAGAATTGGGATTGTTCAGTCTGCAGAAAAGAAGGCTCTGGAGTGACATTCTTGGGCCTTTCAGCACCTAAAGGGGGTTACGAGAAAGCTGGAGAGGGACTTTATACAAGAGCACGTAGTGATAGAATAAGGGGGAATGGCCTTAAGATGAAGGAGAATAGTTTGGGATTAGATATTAGGAAGAAATTCTTTCCTTTGTGGGTGGTGAGGCAGTGGAACAGGTTTTCCACAGAAGTTGTGGATGCCCTATCCCCTTAGGTGTTCAAGGCCGGGTTGGTGGGGTGTCCCTGGCCATGGCAGGACGGGTAGGAACTAAATGATCTTTCAGTTCCCGTCCAACCCAAACCATTCAATGACTCTATGATTCAGTTTTCACATCTATTTATTTAATTGCCACAACAAGTCACCGGCCTCACCGCGCAGCCCCACGCGGAGCGGACCCGACCCGGGCCCTCAGCCTCGCCCCCGCCCCGCCCCCCGTTGCTTGGTTACCGCGCGGGGCGTCACTGTGGGGCCGAGCCACCGCGGCGTGCGACGGGGAGACGGGCTGAACCATTCGCCTGGTCTTTGAGGGGGCTGCAGTGGGGGCGTCCCGCAGCAGCTGCTGGACTTGTTGCTGTAGCTACCGCCCGCGATCTACCGCCTTCCCCCCTTTCCTCAGCGCTCCTGTTGGTCTCGCCCCGCGCGGGCCATAGCGACGGCGGGCGCGCCGAGGGAAGATGGCGGTTGGGGCCCCTGCGCTGCTGCGGGCTCCGTGAGCGCCGCGCTCGCTCTGTGCCCCGTCCCCTTCTCGCTCCTGTGCCCAGCTCCTCCCGGCTGACCTCCGCCTCTTCTCCTTCCCCGCCGGGGCCGTAGGGACCATGTCGGACTCGGAGGAGGAGGAGAGTCCGGACCGCCAGCTCAAGCTGGTGGTGCTGGGGGACGGCACCACTGGCAAGGTCAGTGCCGGCCCCGCCGGCAGCTCCTCTCTCTCGCCGCGGTGCCCCGTGTCCCTTCCCGGCCTTCCCCCTCAGCGCTCTCCCCTGGAGGGGAGGGAGCAACCCGCGGCGGCTTCCCGTCTGTCGCGCTGTCGCGATGCCCGGCTGGCTGCTCCCCCTCAGCTCCTGGCCCTTCGCGGCAGTCGCGGGCTCTCCCCGCCGATGTCCGCGCCGTGCCCGGCAGCCGAACCCTCTGACGGGGCTCCCGCACCCGGAGAGGCATCATCAACAAGTAGACTTTAATCCAATTTTCTTGAGCCGTAAGGAAAAGAGCGGCGAATCACGTAATTCCTGTGGTGCTGACGGAGTTTCCCGCCGATCCCCCTGCGCTGCTGGTCGCGCGCCGGAGGCAGGAATTGCTGGGCTGGAGTCGCTGGAATAGCCCAGAGTTGCTCTCGGTGGCCGCAGTGACCCGGGCCGGGGCCGGGGTCGGGGTCGGGGCCGAGCACAGGATGCGCGGTTCCCCTCGAAAGGACGAGCTGGGAAGGCTCCTTAGCTGGGTCTCCAGGCGCCCCTCGTTTCGGCTGCAGAGCCACCAACCTCCTGGGGTGGATAGAACCCTTTGCGACTACTGGAGTTACTGTTTCAGAGTTTGGAAAGGCACTGCTGGGTCCATTTGATTTTTGTTTGTGACTTTCATGTTTTAGTTTTATTTCCCTTCCCCCATCTAATAATCAGCATAATGAAATACAGTTTCTAAAAGTTTATTTATCAACAAGTAGTACTTGCCTTTTTAAAAGAGAAATTTTGACAAGGAGAGACCAAAGAAGACAAAAGAAAGGCCGGTTTCTTACCATTAAAATAGTCACTGATCTTTACCATATTCTTGAATGTATCTATTGCCATATGTAACCTGAATAATTTTGTGAGATACACCTGAAAATAGTAAATTTATTATATGCTTGAATTATACAGTTTTTTCCTCTGTTATTAACTGAAACCATAGGGAGTAGAAAGTTTGCCTGCCTCACAGTTCATATGAAAAGTGAGAAATGTCCTTAGAGCTGTTTAAATGAACTGCCTGACATTTATTAGTGAAAGTACATGTGTGGTTTTGCTCACTTACTTATTCAGAGCCCTATGAAGAAACAAAACATTTTTTTGTCTCTGGTGATTCTAAACGCAGTCTGAAGTGGTATTGTGTTCATCTGAGTCAGTAGATGGGCAATTCCAAGCAACTGTGTGATGAGAGTGTAATAAATACAGAGAACTGACAGCTGAAGTGCTGCTTCACTGGTAGCATTCCCCAGGAGTTTTCCATTCAAACTGAGGAATCCTTTCCCTACTGCTGTTCAGCAACTTGTGGCAAGACCTCTCACCAAACATGGATTTTCAAGTGTTCTTGAATTTTGATGTATATTCCTGCTGGTCCCTACCTCCCTCATAAGAGCTGCCACTCACTGGAACTCCTGCTGGCTCTAGGAATCCCGTGCTTCCAGTGCAGGTTATTGGGTGTGAGCAGCAGCAATGCTCTGGTGTGCTGCTTTTCCTCTTGTCCCCCCTAGATGATGCTGTAATAGAAGCTCCTTCCTGCCATCCAAATGGCCTGGAGCACACACATGAAATAATAGGTTTATTGTAAGACCTTGCCTTGAAAAAATAAAGAAGCGATTGGGTCATGGAATGGAAGGATAAAATGTACCTAGTGCTATTTCAAGCACCTCAGAAGACTAAATTGTTGAGGTTCCTCTCCTTCATTGGCTACTCGTTCTGCTTACTTGTTGAAATGTGTATATCTGTGTGTTTTCAACTCTAAATATCCAGCCTCTCACATCTGGTTCACAGCTGGTCTTTACACACATACATACTTAGCTTCTCTTTTACTGTGCAAGGTGTTGGTTTTTCTCTTCCTCTGTTGCTAGGATCATTGGACACAAGGAGTGTAGACAATAATGGCATATATCCAAAATATTGTATCTTGTGTTCAGTGTGAGATGTTCATGTTTGACTTCTGTCCTTTACTCCCTCTCCTGCCAAAAAAAAAGGCGGGGGGGGGGAGATTTTATTTCCTCCTGCTTGGCCATCTGGGGTTGCCTGGTCTTTGCTTCTCCAGGAAAAAGAAATGTTATTGTGAGTCAGGTGTAAACTTGCTTTCTGTTTTCCTCACTCATTGTTTAGAAGAAGTGTGACTCAGGTTCTGTGGAAGGATTGGTAGTAGATTAAAACCAAATCAGTGTCAGTTCAAGCTAAGGGTAATGTACTTCCACTAGCTGGGAATTGCTCTATCCATGAGGCAAGGGAGGGGTGTTGTGCTTCTATTAATTCATTTTAAGGTGCTTAAATGAATAACTGGATACTTAGAATTTTAAGGATTGGAATAAGCACTCCTGGAGCAAACTCTAAGTAGAGAAGAGTAAAAATGGAAGAAGGAATAAGAGGAGTAAGAGTAGAATCTATAAAAGTATTTGGGTAAAACAGAGACAGTAATGAAATGGTGAATTGTTGAAAAGAAAAATTGAGGGAGGCATGACTGGTTAGGAAAAAGATAATAGAGAATGACTTTAACAAACTAGACAAACTAGGAAAGCAATCTAAAAGGCAATCAGAGGCAGGGAGAATGTGAAATGAAGATAAACAGCAATTATTAATATCAGTTGGCTCTTTGATTTTGATTACAGGACGGATCATGTACACACACAGCAGCCTTATGTATCTAGCTTTTAAATCAACCCATTCTTCCTGAGCCAAAATGATTTTCCATTAAAATAAACCCACATTACTAGCATGGATTGAAAAAAATATTATGATCGAGATATTTTTACTCTTTTTGTGCACAGATTGTCTTAATATTGAAGTATGTAGCGATACTGATTTAAGGTAGATTGCTTTGATCTGCTACTGTTGAAAAAGATTTTGGGCCTCTGGAAGCAAATCTTGGAGCTATTCGTGGAAAGGGAGGTGCTGAAGAATAGGTGTACTGAGGTTCTCTTTATTTGCTGTCTGTTGTAGCTGGGACTAAAGTATGGTGGCAGAAACATCCTACCTTTTCCTGTTAACAATGGATGATGAAAATGGAAGAATGAATGCCTGAGCTGGTAGGGGAATTTGCAGAGCTAAAACATAGGCTGGCATAAAGAGTGGTGCTTGCTTTAGGATTTTTTAGGATATCAGATTTTTAAGCATTGAGCCAATTCTGAATTGTCTTGTTACACTTAGGCTCAAAAACTTCATCAATGTTGTAAAAAATAACTGTTGTCACTGTTGAGTCTTGCAAAATGAATCACATGTCCTGTGCAGATTGGCCCAGCTGTGTCAAATAGATCAGCATCAAATATCAAAAAATCATGATAAGTTTCTCTTTTTCAGTGAACAAAGTTGCATCAGTAGTTAGGAGTGGAGTGGAAAGACATCAGCTTGGACAGTTCTTTGTTTTTATGGTAGTTAAAACATTTCATTATTTAGCCTCATGTTTCTTTTCATTTAGTCTGTCCTAACATTTTTCCCAGTAGGATAGGACAGGACTCAGGGGTGAGTGTTGCTGTGCATTGACTTCTGGAAGGGAGTGAGGGAAGGGCTAGATAGATACATGTTACTTTTTGGAAAGTGCATTTCAATTAGCCAGTGAAGTTGGTACGTGCACGGAAAATCATGATGTTGGAATTTTCTGCTTGCATCCATTTGAATTTTGGGTTGAATTTTCTTTCTTCCAGCTGTGATACTACACTTTGGCATTGCTTTCTCAAAGGTTTCTTTTATAGGATTTTACTCAAAGAATTTTCATTGGTGGAATTTTCTCTAAAAGTTTCTGTGTTTCCCTGGTGTGTAGTCAGTATCAGAGCTGGCTATCATTGCTTGTATTTGACTTAAAATTTACTTAAACTTGTTGACTTTTCAATTTATTTCTTAGATATTTTTTGCTTTTTTCCCATTTATTCATTAATGTAGGTGTTAGGAACAGCATGTCATCAGTTTATACTGAGTTGTTGACATTGGAAAATGGAAGCAAGAAGCTGTCGTGCCTTGCATATGAGGTTAAATTCCATTCTAGCTTCTTTCAAAAAAAGCTGTCCCAAATATCCCATTGTATTTTGCACCTAGAATACTGTAAATTTTATGTATGATATTTTACTGGTATCTTGGTCGCTGTATATTAGAGCTCAAAGACCTTTTCTTTTCTGAAAGGAGGGAATTTGTAAAGCCAACCTTCAACAGCGTACTGATATTTAGAATAGCTTGTCGTCATTCACTTTGAGGTATTTAAGACAAGTGTGTGAACCTGCCAAACTGATGGAATTTCTAATGGAAATTCTGCTGTGCAAGTTGGTGGCCTGATTGTCTTAGTAGAGATGTGAAGAAACAAGGCTTTCATACTATCATGCTGTTCTCTGATCTCTGCATTAAGGGATGAAATTGTGTGGAGTAGAATCTTTTTAGAACATGGTCACTGATCACTTATTTACTTTTACAACCACAGTTCTACTGAACCTTTTTTAAACTTTTGTTAGTTTTTACATGGATTATACTCAACATATCCTCTCAGGTGAAATTGTTGTGCAAAATCTTTTATGGCAAGCACAGCAGAGAACACTTTTGGGATTTGAAGGGAGTATTTGCATTGTAGAGGCACTTGAATATGCATTGACAGAACTTGTTTGTTGTTGTAGAGAAGTTTCAACTATTGCTCTTAGTATTTTGTGGATAAATGCTTGTTCTGTGAATAAATAGGACTCTAGTCTGGTAATCCAGCACCTTCTTGAGCTCTAACATTTATTAGAAAAAATTTAGAAAGGAGTTAGTCAATGATTTGCTGCTATAAATTCCTTTGCATTCAAGAGCGCAGTAGAGAAAAACAGTTTAAGAGAACTTTGCCATGCTGTTGATTACTTGCTGCTCTTACTGGTTGGCTGTTAATTGAATGTATGTTGTTTATTTTTACTAACACCCCAAGAAGCTCTCAGGGAATATTGAGTGTCACAGAGTGATAAGCTAATATTTACTGAGCCTTTAAAACAAGAAGGGAGGGGTTACTTATTTAATGAGGATCTAAATTAGTGTGTTGGAGAATGTAGAATACCATGATATAGTCAGATGATACTTTAATCTGTACTGCAGGCACTGGTTACTTTTCCAAAAAAAGGAAAATTTCAAGGAAAAGGCTGAACGGTGTATTTCTGCAATCTTCTTGTTCTCATCTACATCTTTAAGGTCATGACAGATTAAACACAATGTCTTTGTAATTTTGGCATGCTAACTACTGTGATTAAAAGAATCAGCTCTACTGACTTTTTCTATCCTACAGACTGAATCTGTGTTGAATTTTATTTTGTGTGTTGTCAGTGTTACTGTCACGTAGCTGAAGGCAGAACAATATTCTCACGATTCATCCTCCGTGGTGTTCCCCCTTTGCACGCTGATGTTAATATATTTGCATACTCTTGCTATTTGTAGTTTACTTGCGTTTTCCCCCATTTATTTATTTAGTTTTAATCCTCGCAGGGCTTGAGTGCTGTGAAGTAAATGAAAATGTTGCCATAGTCTATAATTGAGAATTTGGCTTACTCTCTAAACATATCTTCTGATATCAAAATATCATGCATTATATATACAGCAGTGATAGGAATATAGATATGATATAGAAACATGAAAACAGTATATAGTTTTATTTACTTCACAGGAAATTTAATAGTTGAATAAATGTTTGCCTGTTCATTCTAGAGCTTTAATGCTGGAGCTCTGGTGATCATGTTTTAATGAAAAAAAAGTAACTTACCTTTTCTTTCTGTGTACATTTGACTTCATTAGCCTAATTTAGATCTTTGTTGTAACCATCCTGTTCTTAGACCTCACCTATTCTCATTTTTCAGAACTATTGGCATTATTTTGCTGTTGAATTTTTGACTAAATGTACTCTAACCACAATTTCTAATAACAATTGGTGTGACTCATCTCTTTGGGTCTTGATGAACAGAAAACTGGCAAAAAAGAAGAACCTTCTTGCCTGTTTTGAGTTTTCTCAGACGATGTAAGGGTTTTGTGAGGCTCTTAGTCTTTTTCCCTCCCTATGTATGTAAATACATATTTAGATTTTTTTATGTAGGTGATTTGTATTTATATTTACAAATGTCATGCCAACAAGAGATTTGTAAGTGTACAGCACTAATTTGATGTAGGATGTAGTTTATGATTTTTAATAAAGTATTTCATTTTTTGGGCAGTACAGACTTTTGTATTCTTTATGATTGTACCATACTTTTCTTCTTTACTTCTTTGTTGGGCTTTCTTTTTTTCTTTCTTTCCCTTTCTCTTCCCCCTCCTTTTTGTTTGTTTTTTTTTTTTTTCTTGCCTTGCATGGAGACCTTAAATTGCTATTAAATTGCTACTGACACAATATAAATTGTCTTGCTTCATTAGTTTATCTAGGTTAGTTGTGTATCCTTTTATCAGTATGTAGTAAAAACTGATTATTAGGTCAGTAATGTATTGGTCTGCTTTCATAAGTGCACAAAATATCAGTTGAAGAAATAAGTTTCCAAAGTTCTGCTGCAAGGAATGAGTCTGCAAATGCGCATTCTTAACATGAATTTAGTTTTCTTTTTCCATGTGCAAGAAAGTATTCTCCCCATATTAGACTTCCTGTAGTCCCTGATCCTGAAACTGATGTACAGTGGCAGGAATCTCGCCACACTTGGTTCCTGTGGGACTCTGCACTGTGCAGATCTCTGTTCTCTCCCAGAAGGTTGGTTTGGGATCATGATGTTCTGTACCAGGGGATGACCCTTGTTTTGGAAATGAACGCTTTTAAAAATATTAAAATCTTCAGGTACAGAGAGTGTTACTTAGATTTGTGTCAGTTTGAGCATATTAATGATTCCTCATTTAAATCCGTGTATTATTTTGTAATATTACTATTACAGTATTTTTGAAATCAGGAAATACGCACCTTGCTTCTTTTTGCATAAATTAGTAGCCTCTGCCTCCTGTTATTATGTTGAAGCTGACTGGACTGCTTGTCAATCCAAATCCATGAACACTGTTAGCATTCATTGATTTAAAAAGTGGTTAACTGTATTTCATACTTCTGGTTTAACATAAAGTTTTTTGCTGTTTAAAATGACAACTTAATTTGATGCTGTTCTGTTTTAGACATCCTTAGCTACACGTTTTGCCCAAGAAACATTTGGAAAGCAGTACAAACAAACCATAGGACTGGACTTCTTCTTGAAAAGGATATTATTGCCAGGTAAGAGAATAAAAACTAACACTGAAAGGTTGGGTGACAGCAAGACTTGCAGAAACAGATTCTTCAAAGTAATGTGTACTTAATAAGCTTAGTACAGTGATTTTTATGGCAAAGTAAATTGGGTTGTTCAGTGAAAATTTTGTTAGTATGTTCTTGCCAGGTGACAGAGTTACATATCTGCAACTTGCATCTCGATTTCAAATAAAAGGAATGCTGTCTATATTGATGAATTTTATTATCCCTGCTTGAGTGCACTCACTGTCCATGTGCGTAGTGTAACACACAACAATGAAATGGAACTTTAAATATATTAATTGAAAAAGTATATGTGTTTTGAAAGAAATATATATATATATTTAATGAAATACACGACTTCTATTTGAGTTGTGTGAGAGAAGAATAATGCAGCTATGGACTCACAGTGCTCTAATATGTGAATGCTGTTTTATGCAAGGCAGCATGAAATTGCTGGCATTTAATAGACCACTAAAATTTAGGGTCCCTCGGCACTCATAAAAATACAGTTTGAGCATTCAAGATGTTTCACTTCATGATGGCAAAGAAACTATTTAGATGCCAGTTGCAGCACACTGCATGGAAAATGCAAAGAAATAATTAAAAAAGAATAGTTGCTGGTACGAGTTTGTCTTTGAACAATTGGGGATTTGAAATAAGTCTTTTTATTGATTTGTGTTTGCTCATATTCTAAGTATGCAAGTATTGAATTAAATGCATTTTCTTCTGGATTCAGAAATCAGAAGAAGTTAGAAAAAGTATGTGTAATTATTAAAAGTTGACTCAAGTTCTGTAGTTCTGTCTTTTTTCCTTGTGAAGAGTGGGGAGGAAAGCAAACCCAGAAATTAAACATTTTATCTATAACCTGTAGTTATAAGAAAATATATGCAGTTCTTGAACTTATTTTTTAAAAATTATATTGCCAATAATTTCTTGGTTATGTTTATATATTTTCTTAAGTGAAACAGAATAATCTTTTCAGACTATTACTGCATTCACTATTTTGGTTTGGTCATTTTGCTGTACTTTTTTACTATCTGATGAGTGATAAAGTACCAAATTCCAGTGCTTATTTCTTCATAAAATCAACAGAATAATTTTTTTATTGTCCTGCTCATGCCTCTAAAAATACCAGTGTACATATTACTTAGCAGCAGTACTTGCAAGTGGAATGTGTCCACAAATCATGCAGTGTGCATGCTGAGAACTTTTATTTTGCAAGTTTTTTTCCTGCTGTTAAGCATACAGAAGCTATTAGTATGTTACTGGGATTTTAAATAATCTTGTTGAGTAGAAAATTTGGAAAATTATCAACTATTGCTTCATTCATTTTTGTTCATAGTTTATTTTGTGTGTGAATTTCGTTCATTCATAGTTTATTTTGTAATAAAATCAGAATAGCACCAAAAAGTCTGTACATCTCTTTTCCTCACCATTAACAAAACAGTAATGTTTGTATTCGTATTTAGGAAGATAACATTTTTCTGTAGGTTGTCATTCTGGTTTTACTTATGCTTATATATGTGTTTAGGTATATATGGCTCTCTGTGTTTTATAGGTAAGCTGGACTGGTCATGGGGAGTGAGAGGGAGGGAGGGAAGGTGGTAAAATATCTAAATACTGGAATGGGAAGCATTACTTTAGTAAGCGGATTTTTCTAATTTCTCGGTTAGTTCTGGGTTTGCAGAGCTGCTGTGTTTGCTTGAAAGGTTAGTTGATACCACTGCACAGAAATTATGTGTGTATCAATAGGAAAAAAAGCCTCGATTTCTCTTATCTAGTAGGAGAAATAATGAATAACTGTGGTTCAGTAGTTGATTTTTTCCTTCTTCAGTGTAAGCAAAGATTTCAGAAGTTAAAACTCCCTATTTCTAGAATTGCTCAGAAGTTTACATTAAGCCACAGTAGAAATACATTTTAGCTTGTAAAATAAAGTACTGTTTTTCTGGGAGTTTCTTGGTTTTTGTAAGATAAAAGTGGCATTTGTCTCCAGTTGTTTTAGCAATTAATGCAGTTTTTCAGTGAAGATAGTAAATATTTTACATAATAAAACAATATAGTTTAATACAAATAATAAATCCTTTGATTTTGAACAATGACTTCTAGTATTCAGCTTGACAGATTCGCTTTATGCAATTTGGTCAATTTTTTTTTTCCAAATGCAAATCAGTTTCATTATATTTATTGATGCAGAATCTTGTATAGTCTGGATGCAACCATGGTATAGGTTTTAGTGCTTAAATAGTGTATCTGTTAGTCAGAGGGTCTGCTGATAGAGACTCCTAAGAGCCGTAGTCATATACATTTTGGAAGGTTGTGAGCACAGTTCAGTAGACAGGATCCTTCTGTTTAAAGGATTTTTTTAAAGTCATTGGTGCAAAAAGTGGGCAGACTTGTGTTTTTAGTTCCATCCTGACCGTGCAGTGCTGTAAGTCAGGTTAACCAGTGCACCACGTGTGCTCCTGCAGGATCACTGCTACATCAGCCCAGTGGCTTCAGTTCATACCAGAAACAATCTAGATACCTGCACTGTGTTGCCTCAGTTATTTTAACTTGCACTTGTGTGTATTTTCTACAGAGTAAGGTGCTGAGGTTTTCTTGTTCCTTATGGGTGTATAAAATGTTATTTTGAGGGGATTCTTCAGTTATTTTTATTGGTATGTTAAGACTGTTTTTAAGAACTGTCTTATGATGCATTGTTTCTTTTTGGTTTTTTAGTAAGTCTGCAGTTTGTATGTTCCTCTTAAATCTATGAAAAAACAGATTTCAAACTTTTTGTAGAAAACTTTGTGTGCTACTGTCATACTTGTTAATTAAATATTGGGTAGGCAAATGCCTGGAGTTTTTAATTTTGTCCGAATAATCTTAACATCCTTCTTTCTTCCCCAGAATCAATTAGAGCACAAACCAAATATTACAAAATCTAACTGAAAAAAAGGGAAAATGAAACATTTTGCCCAGGAGATGATCAACATGAATTTCAGTAGTTAATGAGGCCCTAATTCACAACCAGTTCACCTTAAATGAACATACCGATCTTTTTTTTTTTCTACCCTGTTTCTTTTTTCTGTTGTTAGTGAAGGAAAGTAAATAATTTCTAATAGTAGATTTTTTTTAGTTGAACAGTCACTGTTAGATCATTTAATATAACTTAACTGCATTAAAATTTTTCAGGTCATTCCATGCAGTTATCCAGATACTAAGCCCAGTATGCTGTTCATAATTTTTAGTTGTAGGAGGAAAGATGAAGTTAGAAACTTCTTAAAGCACTCAAACACAAAATTAGACATCTGAAAATTGTTGAGCTTGAAAGTGATAATATTTATAAAGCTTTGTTTTTAAAACAGCTGGCATGAATGACATGGTGACATTCCAGTAGAGTACATAGGGGTAGAATACTACAGCATGGTGAGCCTTTGAGCATGCATAGTTTGTTTACCCACTGAGGATGTGTAGTCTTTTAGACTGCGAGTTCACCAGTTTATCCATGCCAGATGCTTTATGGAAGACTTTCCTGCATTGTTTGCAGTCATTTATGTTCTGAGCTTTTAAAAAAATTGATTAATTCATAGTATATGCACTATCAAAAGAAATAATCTTTTTACTCATTATAAGGTTTTCTTTATTGAACTGGAGTGTTTATGAGGTATTTTCTAAACTCCATTTAGAAATTCTCTTACTATTAGATAAAACTCAGTGTAGCTTAAAAGTGCTGTCTCATACTCATCCTCTATATTTTTGAGACCAGTGTAGTAGTTTTGGAAATCTTCACTTTTAACCAGATTAAAGCCAAGTGCATTGTAAAAATATAATGTGATATATTTAATACTACAAATAACATATGTCCAGCTCTATAGTTCTAATTTGCTGGTTATTTTCACGCAGTGCTGTGATGTGTTTCCATGGAGCACACTCCCTTGTGTAACCAATGTGAGCATGTTAGTTATAAATTGACAGATGAATAGATAACGTTGTGTAAAATAAGGTCGTTAACTATATAAAATATTTGAATTAAGGATATGTCTTTCTTAGCAGCCCAAAGTAATTTGTTCATTTTCACTCAACTCTCACTTGTTGTGTTGTGGAATTCATTGCATTTTTTTAAAATCTAGGAATAAAGTTAATAGGCAGTTGTGATTATTTGTGCATAAGTAGAATTGGTATTAACATGTAATTCATGTGAGTTGTATGTAGATCAGAAAAGGTTTTATCAGTCCTTACTCTATTAGAGTGGTATTCCAAGGTAATCAGTACAGTTTTGAAAACAATTCTCACCTTGCAAAATGAGACAAATTATACTTTAATATATTTGTACGTATATGGTTACATACCTTTCTGTGTGTATTTTTGATCTATGAGTTTCTGAGTTGTTAGCTTACAGAATATGTAAGACTTGTAGGATGTTAAATATTTTGTATTTAACCTGATTTTTTTATTAATTTGTTTTTAAAAACCTGTTAGCACTTTCAACATAGCTTAAAAACTGTTTAGAGTAGGAAGGAAGGTCTATTCTTGGTACAGATTCTTTGAAGATGAAATTATGTAAATCATGCCCAATTTAGCTTCCTGCTTTGGGGTGGTGGGTGGAGGAAGTAATCACAGTTTGCATCCTCAACTTAGATGTGTGTTGGTATTTCCATTTTTTTAATCTCTCAACTATATAATTCTTTAACTGTATGCTACTATCAGCATCACTACCAAAATGAAGTTACCTGGTGGGTTTTCCTCTCTTCTGGATTTGTAAAGATGATTTGTGGTGGGGAAGGGACACACGGTATGAAAAAATGTGGTTAAGTTGGCATTAATTGTGTTACCTTTCAGTTCCCAGTACTGTGCTATAGAATGTTCTCTGTGAAGTTTTATGTGTTTCTTCAGTGGAGTATGTTATATAATTTCTAGTCAGGAGTGTTATACTTTATGCAATTCCAATTATTTTCTGTTACTATTAAATATGTGAATATCTAGCTATAATTTTACTGTATCTTAATGACTTAGCTGGAAACAAATGACTTTTTTCCAAATGATACAATCATCTTTCTGTTGAAATTTACTTCCTATTTATTGTATACTTGTAAAAAGCTATTGCTGTTGATATACTAGAGCTGTATTACCTGCTCTGATAATATATCTTTATTATCTAAATTTTCCAGGTTACACAATATCTATAATTTTTTTTCCCCAGGAAATTTGAATGTTACTCTTCAAGTGTGGGATGTAGGGGGACAAACGATAGGAGGCAAAATGCTGGATAAATATATTTATGGAGCTCAGGTACAGTATAAATGCTGATAATTTTATTTATAGTAATGATTAATTGAAACTTTGTTCTTAAAATTTTACATGCATTATGCAGAACTTTTAGTTTGTTGTGTTATTAATCTCAAAAATTTTATGGAGCTCGGGAAACTATAAATGCTGATAATTGTATCTATGGTAATGATATTAAATTAATTGAAACTTTGTTCTTAAAATTATACATGCATAGATACATTATACATAGCTTTTAGTTTGTTTTGTAAATCTCAAAAATGTTGAATCTTTCTTCTATCTAAACTTAATTGATATTAACATGCTAATTTAATTTTCATGTATGGCTAAGTTCTTAGAGCTGACATGAAAAGCAAAGCAAGGGTACGCATTTGTAGATCTGAATAACTCTCCAGAGCAGATGTTTGTTTCCAGGCTTTGTGTCTTGAATTAAGAAAAGCAATCATAGTAAATGGTAAAGGCTATTTGGATATCCACATGGTAGATAGAGTGGCTGCTTTTAGAACAGCTGCCTCCTGGGGGAAAAAGTAGAAGGAGGAAATTAAGAGCAATCCTACACCGTTAAACTCATACATGCAACTGGGGTTATAAGAAGGCAAACAAAAGGAGGCAACCAGGTAGCTAAATATTTTTGCAGAACTCCTATCCAGTGAAAATTAATTTTATCTTGAGGTTAACTGAGAAACTTGAAGTGAATGGTAGGATCAAGAAAGAGCTAAATAGTATAACATTATAATGTTAATATATATATATAATATTGACTCATGAGATGATTTAGAAAGATGTATTATATACCAAACTTCTTAGCATGAATAATCCTAAAATGTATTCTGTTCCTTAATTTGGAGTTTGTAATGAGAACAATAGGCATAACATATTTTATTAGATAATATTGTACTTAAGTGAAAAGAAAACAAACACACCTATTTCTTTTGTCCCAGTACTTTAAGCAATAGGAATATGGAATCCTAAAACTCTTATTGGACAGAAACTTTATATTAACAAGTATAACACAGAGATTAGGATCTGTTAGTTAATGGGATTAAGTCAAACTTGTCAGTGTAACATTCTCTCACTTTCAAAAAAATGTCTGAATGTTTTTAGCTGCTGCAGCTCTTTTATAGCATTTTCTTTTTTTTTAATAAAACTCGATTTGCTGCCTGTTACCAAGCAATAGGAGAAAGTGGCTTCCATGACAGAGGAAATTTGATTAATCACAAATTGTTGCCATATGCCCAAAGTAAACTCAGTGGAGGAAATAAAAAGGCTATTAACTTTGTTGGCATTGAATTTGGTGATAAACTTAGGTGTTTCTTATCAGAAATAACAGGTCAAAAAGTTAATACCAGTTCCCAAAAGTAGTGAAAAAGTTGATATCAGTAAGACTAACGTTTGATTTTTCTAGTCATTCGGAACACATTAACAAAAAGCCCCCTATGTCCAATCTCTTCGACTTTAATCCTCCCTCAACCCTCATTGTAACCCTAATTTTTTAAATGGACTAGTTACTCCCGATGTCGACATGTATTGCCAATGTGTGTAATAGGCTTCTTATCATCAAAGCTGACTTCTAACACACTTTTCTATTAACTTTGTAACAGTGCCTGTTGAAGACGCATAAAACTATCTCCATTTTCATCTATTCATGAAACGCCATGAAGAGTTTGGAAAAACACTGCTTTCAGCTTATTTCTAGACAGAAGCTTAATGCATGTTGAACATCTGTAGCTTTTTATAAGAAAAAGGGGAAAAGTAAAGTAGAAGAAGTAGGAGTATTTATAAAGGAAAATCCTTTTAAATATGGATAAAAATTCTTGTGAATAGACAACAAAACAGCAGGAAAGTAATGAGGAAGAGGTAACATGGAATTAGCAAGAGTGTGTAGCCAAGGGCCAAGAGTCTGGTTAATGGACTGGGGCATTTCTCCTATGAGGAGAGGCTGAAGGAGCAGTAGTAACTCTTCAGGGTAGAGAATAGAAGGCTTATCTATATATATACATATATGAAGGAAGGATGCAAAGATGACAGAACCAGGCTCTTTTCTGTAGTGTCTGTTGACAGGACCAGAGGCAATGGGTACAAACTGAAACACAGAGGATTCCTTCTGAACATCAAGAAACACTTTTTCCACTGTGAGAATGACTGAACGCTGGCACAGGTTGATGAGAGGGGTTGTAGAGTCTCCATCCTCAGAGATAGTCAGAAGCCAATTGGACATGGTCCTTGGCAGCTGGCTTAGGTGCTTCAACAGGAACATTGAACCAGATGACTTCTAGAGGTCCCTCCCAACCTCAGTCATTCTGTGAAATGGCTTTGTAGTAAAAAGCCCTTGGATGGGTGTCCTGTTGGGGAAAAAAACCCAACAGTTGGATGGGAGTTTGCAGTGCACCTTTGCAACAGTAGAAGCTAACTGAATACTGAGCTGTGTTAGTATGTAGTAGAATGAACTAGAATAATGAAGTAGTCAGATCAAGGAAAGTGATTATCATACTGTCTGACATTTTTGAGGCTGCATTTGGAGTATTGTATTCAGTTTGGGGTTCCCCAGTACAAGAAAGCCTTTAAAATAATGAAGTAACTCTAGTGAAGGTTGCTGCAAAAGAAGTATGTGTGCCTATGATGCGTTGCACTTGGTCAGCATGCGTGGTGCAACTGGGATTTTAAACATCTTGTTTGTAAAATACATGAGCTGCACAGATACATATAGAGTAGATGATTTGGATCTGTTGCAAAAATTGTGTTCATCTGTGTATTCTCCAAATCTACATAATTCAGATTATGTGTGGAATTGTTTGTAGCATACCTACAATATGGGTCATGCTTTTATCCAGTATTTGCAGATGCCCGTAGCTTCATGTAGACTTCCATCTGGTTGATCATTGTGAGATTTGGAAATCATAAGTGGCAGAATTCTTGGTTTTATGCTCAGAAATCTTAAGTGTATGGTAGACCTACTTATAAAATACTATAACCAGCTGGAGATGGAAGTTTTGAGCATCTAAGAAGCAACTGCAAAGATTATCTATGATCTACAGTTCAACTGGATCTTGGTTGGAATTTGATCAGGATATCGGGGGGGGAGTGAGTGGAGTAGTTCATCTATACTTTGCTGCAAACCTTGCCCACTGGAGGTTTCCTTCTCTTTGAAAAATGAGACCTGAATCAATTCTCTAGGATAGATCTTCTGGTTAAGTTACTGTTAAGATGCCATATTTTGATTGAGATCCCTAACTTCTTGTGCCATGTTTTAAAATAAGAATGGCAGATTTGAGAATGAGAACCTATGTAATTTGCTTGCATGCTTGCAGTTGCAGTTGGAGAAAGTGCAGTTCACCTGCTGGCTTGAAGCAGTTGCTTTCCCTAAGCCCATTTTTCCTCTCTGATGTTGCTCATTTAGAACATTATAATTGATGCATCCCGTCTTGGTAGCTGAATTTCAGTGGTGAGTCAGAAGAACTCTGCAAGCTGTGGGGAAAAAAGAGCTCTTTGTTCTTTATAAATAAAAGGTGTTAATAATCAACAGTGAGAGAAAGCTGTTTAAAACTGGCATGTTTATCTCAGAATTGAGAGAGGCTAAGAGTAATTGTGTAGTCGGGTGCCACAGCTGTACTGATAGACAGCAGCTCATTCAATTATGGCAACTCAATCACGTATATTTGAGTGACCATGTCCTCAGTATCAACAAAGACAACAGTGGTTAAGTAAATGTGGACTGTAAACTGTTTTCACTTGCAAAAGTAGCATTTCTGGAAATGTATAAGGTGTCATAATGCAGTTGCTTTTACTAAATGAATACTCTGTGACTAGAAAAAATAATTTAGAATTTTGGTCTGACTTATTTAATGAATATTAATGAAAATTTGGAAGTTAATTTAGTTCCTTCATACTAAAGTCAGTCATAGGATGAGGGTAGCTGAGGATAAATCTGAAGAAGAAAACATATGGTTTTAATTACTGTTTTCTGTAGCTTCCTTTTATTGTGACAAATCTTGATGTAAACTTGACACCTTCTAAATGTTGATTGTCTAATGCGAATGTATTGCTGGTTACAAACACTTCCATAATAGCAGTTCTGCTGTAAAATAACTGCTACTGTTTGTGTGGTAAATCTTTCAGAACCACTCCCATCTCTTATCTGTAATTGCTGCCCCTACCCACATATCTAGTTTAAATTATCTTTAAGATCTAGTATATGCTACCTCATAAATTGGCTTGTTAGTAGAATAAGAGTACTGCAGACTCTACTTTCTCCAGGGATCAGCAAATAATTTCTGCAATATTCTCAGTTTTGAGTGACCTGTTTCTGAAAATGCTCTATAATTCCAAAACAAAAAGCACTCACATATGCACTAATGTAGGCAAAATGTCTCTCTTACTAGAGTGCAATTATGCAAGCAGGGACTATTTGACACGTTGCTGGAGACTAGAGAATTAACGTGCTGTTCTTGGCATGTCAACCACCATGTGTTTCAAACCTTTTTCACTGCAGGGAAATACACTACTTTTGTGTAAAAAGGCCAGTGTTAATTTTCCACCTTAGTTCCTCATACCTAATAGGGAAACAACAACTTTTACACTGTCTACTTGTTCTATACTTCATATACTGTAAGTTTGTGGAAAATATGACATTTTTTTGAAAGCAATGATGGGATTTCTCTATAATAAAAAAAGGCGACATAAATTTTAACCATGGAGTTGTGACTAGTCCTTTGTTAATTATCTGTATCATAGTAAGTTGCTTGTAGAGTGCTGTTGTGATAAAAATCTAAGCAGAAAGTATTCTTTATGACCTGGATGCCATGCTGCCTTTTTTTGAATCTCTAAGATGTCATGCCTGCCATCTTTGTTTCTTAAGTATGGCAGATATCGACAAGATTAAAAAAAAAATAAGAAAAGAATGTGCTTTAGAGGCAGTGTTTCAGATCACAGAGAAAGGGACCAAAGGGAAGTTAGATGAACTGTAGTTGCAAACTTTGTTCAATGGTCTCTTTCAGGGTGAATCCACTGTGAATACCTTTTCTTCCAAAGGGGTGGGTGAGCTGCAGTTGTCTAGAGGACATATAGCAGAGTAGAATTTTGTTGAAGAATTAGTTAGAGTTGTCTAACCCTAAATGTTCAGACTCTCTTAACTTTTTCTTTCATCTAACTCTGGTTAGTGCTGAAGATGGTTTAGTTAGTCTGCTCTTCTGCAGGCCGGTGAGAGAACTTGACTGCTGGTGAAAGAAGCATTGCCGTGTGCTCTTCCTCATTTACAACCTTCAGCCTTATGGCTGGTATTTTTTATTAACCTTTACCATACCTGTCCTTTAGCTTGAGTTTCTTCTTTTTCATTGAGCATTTAATAACACAAGTATGTCCTTCCTAGAGCAAGACTTAGATAGTGAAAGACAATATGTACGTGCACAGGGATTTGGGTAAAGACAGGAGAAGTTAACTGAGATGCAAGATATTAAGGAATAAATTGTACCAAAGTTGGAAGAGGGAAGTGGATGTTTAATATTAGATTTGATTGGTAAAGAAGGAAAGAAAATAAAGATAAAGTTGTGTGTCATAATTTTTAATTTCCTTAAAGGAATTGGTAAAAGCTGTTCCATAGAAAATAGCAGCTATATAAATTTAAGGAACAAGAACTTATTTTGCCAAGGTGTTATTGACATTGGAGGAAAAGAGATAGATTGGTACTGCTGTCATAAGAAAGTAGGAGTTGAAGGGATCTCAGTAGGGTCTGTTGCCCTCCTTCAGAGCTGCATGTATAAAGTCTATTTAATTTTTGGTAACCTTAAAAATTTTCCAGTGTTGGTGACTTTGTTATAGGTGGTGTATTTCAGAGCTTTGACATTCATACTGTGTCCATGGGGTGTTTTTTGTTGTTCATTTGTTTTTACACCTGCTATAATCTTATTGCTGTAAACCTATTGCTACATGTCGTATTGATCACAGATTTGTAAGAACGTTCAGGGTGGGAGGGATCTCAGGAGGTCTGTAGTCAAACCTCCTGCCCTAAGTAGTGTCAACTGTGGGAGGCAACTAGGCTGCTCAAGGATTTATCCAGTTCTTTCCCGAAAACCTCTAAGGATGGAGTCTGGGCAACCTTTGGATCAATCCACTTGATTTTTGTAATGGTAAAAAAGCTTTTCATGATATGTAGCTTGAATTTCTCTTGTTTCAGCTTATGCCCATTGTGTTTCATCCCCCTGCCATGCACTGTTGTGAAAAGCTTGGCTCTATCTCCTTCATAGCTTCTTCATGGGTATAGAAGGCTGCTTTTGGGTCCTCCCAGGGCTACCTCCCTTCCATGCTGAAGAATTCAGGTTCACTCATCTTTTCCTTGTAGGACAAATGCTCCAACCTCTGATCGTCTTGGTGGCTCTCTGCTGAACTTACTCCACTTCACTGATGTCTCGAGGGGCCTTAGGATGTGTTCTGACTGGATGCATTCTTTTAGATATGACCTTACAAGTGCTGAGTAGAACAGTTGCTTGGTTTAGTGGCTGTGCTTCTGCTAATTCAGCCCAGTTGGCCATCCTTGCTGCCAGGGAACATTGCTGGCTCATATTTGGCTTTCTGTCTGACAGGACCTGCAGATCATTTTCAGTTGCTCCCCAGCCAGTCAGTCCCACCAGCCTTTATTATTTATTCATCTGCAGCTGCTGGGCTTTGCATTTATCCTTTTTGAATGTTGAAAGATTTCCGTTCACCCATTCCCTGAGCACGTCTACATAGCCCTGCCGTCAGGCATATTGGCTGGTCCTCCCAGTTTAGTGTCATCTGCAAACTATGTGTAAGATCAGATGCAAAGAGAACTGTTATCTTCTCTTGAAACTTGTACCAGCATCATCATGCCTACTATCAGTCTTGTGTTTGTTAAACTGTCCATTTTTTTGCCCAGTTTTCTCATGTCAGTCGTGGTTTCTAAACCTCTGATATTGTTACTGGTCTCTAGAATTCTGGTCTACCTTTTTTTTTGATACTCAGTGTCCAAAGCTGGATGCATTGTTTCATCTGGAATGTTTCATGCCAGTGTGATATTTGCAAAATAAGCCTGACATGTTCAACTGTGATCTGTAACACCTTGATCCTATTGTATGGAACCTGTTACAAAGCCAGATGCTTCCTAGTGTGCACTTGATTATTGCTTCCTTTGAACTTGTCATGGTATTTATTGAATTGCATCCTATTATTTTTAAATTGTTTCTCATCATATAATCTAAACTATTCTCAAGTAATCTTACAGTCTGTACCATTTTTTTGTCATATGTGAAATTAATTAAGTGTACACTCTGTGTTGGGATCTAAGACACTTCTTGTGAAACTATCAATTAAAGCTGGGCCCAGACAAATGCCTGAAAAAATTTGACTTGAAAAATCTTTTCTGTTGATAGTAGGTCATTGAACCAGCTACTTTTGTGTGCATTACATTATTTCTTCAGAGTATTTGTGAAAATTTCATGTGAGAAACAGTGTGCAATTGCAGGGTTTTTTTGTCCTAGGTGTGAACTCCATGAGAATAACTGCAACTGAAATTCTGATTTTATTCCTCATTTACAAGATACTGACTTTATTAGGGTGTAGTGGAAGGAAGGGGCAGAAGAGTCAATAATTGAGATCTGAGAGCTGATCTTAGAATTGTGGAGGGGACAGGGATGACATTTGGGCTGTTAATAGGCTGTGCTTTATAATATTGGCTATTAGTGCTGAGTAATCCTCAGTAATGTCTGCTTTGAGTATTTTATACCTGCAGCTTGGCCCAAAACCTCTGAAATATATGGGACATCCTTCTTTTTGAGTTCTGACCATATCTTTAATTTTCTTTGGAAAGTTTAAAGCTCACCAGTACTTCTTGCTTGTCTTCTACAGCACTGAAGAAGGGGAGTCTGGTCTTTCTCCCCGACAGACAGCAGAAACATGACAGTCAGACAATGCACAGAAATGTAAAACTGAACATCTTTTTTTTTTATTTTTTTTTTCCAAAATAGGAAAAGTGAAACTACAACTAATATTAGCTAAAAGTCCTTCTCCAGTGCAATTTTTATCTTCCTATTAGTGTGAAATACTTTTTTGAGTTTCCCATAAAGCAAATGGAGTTTTTAATATTTCTGATATAACTAATTGTGCTCTTTACTGTGTTGCCATATTTTTTCTGCCATTGTAGAATTTGAAACACCTGGAATATGGGAGTAATACTGTAATGACGTGTATACCTCAAAAGTTTAGAATCCCTTTAATTGATCCTCATAAGATATGATGCCATTGTTTGTTAATGCTCTATTTTATGATGATGATGACGATGATGATGATAATAATAATAATAATTTAGGCTGATGCAAATTTTACTGTATTAAAGTGTTTTTACAATCTGTAACATTTAAAATATATCTTTTTATTTAGGGTATTCTCTTGGTTTATGATATTACCAATGTCCAGAGTTTTGAAAATTTAGAAGACTGGTATAATGTGGTAAAAAAAGTGAATGAAGAATCAGAAACACAGCCACTTGTGGCCTTGGTTGGAAATAAAAGTAAGTTACTCATATTACATATTATTTTATATACTCTCGATGTGGTTTGCTATTAAAGAAATTACATAGGGTATATGTATTTAGTAAAATGAAACTAAATACTATCTTGTGTGTTGTTGCTGTGTACGGAAGTCAAACTTGGGTACACCTCAGGATTCTGGCTCTAGGCAGACAGGTTACAGGACTTGCTGCACTATTCTTTACCCAGCCTTCAGCCTCTCTCCTGGTGTTCTCTTTGCTTGGAGAGCAGCACACAGGAGTGGAGAGATCACTCGCCCATGCTTGAATTTGACACGGCCCCGGGATATAGCCATGGCACGTGTCTGGAATGGAGATCTGGAAAGCATTCCTGTTTGTAGTAACAGGTATATTTCATGATTCTGTATGTCAAAGGACTGCTAGGTTAAGTACTGGTATATATTTAAAATAACTGCACTATTCCCTAGGTGAAATACTTATGAGTTGTTTATTTGACTTTTTTTTATGGTATCTGCAGATTTGCATGAAGTAACTAACTTCATGTTGTTTTGGGATTTTTTTTAACCTGTCCTCTTTTTGATCATGTAAGTATCATACAATGGTTTATTCTAACCATCAAAATATGCAACTTTAAATAATCCTCGCGTAGTTAGTTTCCTAATTAGATGGATTCCAAATTCCCCTATTTCCAACTAAGAAATCTTACAGAAACATCCTTATTACTGTCCTGGCTCTCCTACCATTTTTCTATTGAAATTATATTATTGAAACATCTAGCAATTTTTGAAACAAAATGGTAGAAACATATACATAATTTTTAAGCTTCATAAATATATTTACTTGAACAGCAGAAAAAGATTTGATTTTTTTCACTTTCCAAGTAATTTGTTGTCATGTTACAGTGACCATGTCGTGAGCAAACCTGAAAAAAGACCTTACCCAGCAAGTTAAAATTGTTTAAAAGGATTTGAAAACAATACAGAGACAAAACATTTTAATTCAGAACCATTAACTGTACTACAGTGATACTGTAACATTTTATGATATTAATTATGAAAGACTAATTTCCTGTGAAGAAAACAAAGAAGCTCTTAGAGTTACAATATATAAATAGCACTTCTGAAAGTGTAACATAGACAGTGTTGTACTCTAGCAGACTGGAGTCAATAATACAGATTCTGTTGAAGTTCAAATGAAAAATATTTTTCACTGATTTATATTTTACCCCAAAATATGATTTCTTCTCTGGAGTTCTGCAAATCTTATGAAGTATTTACAGTAAGATACACTGTAACATAGGATAAAAAATGTTTTTTTCCTGAAGTGACACCATAAAGGTAGAAAATCAGACACCAGTTTCCATTTGGAGGAATTTTATTTCTGTTATTTTTCACATAGGCATGCCTGCATATCTTTAATATCCAAGTGTTTCCTTGGAAGCATCTGGAAGTAGAATCTGGTTTCCTAGATGAGTTTTCAGGTAGTGGCTGACACTGGCTAGTGAAAGGGCTTTCATTTTATGAAAATACCAACTGAAGGAACAGTGTACTTGCAACCTTGTTTTCTTTCAGAAGCTGTATATAAAGAAAAGAAGCAAAATAGTGCTTTTGCATAATGCTGAGTTGTTGCTGTTGTACATGTTGATTATGCAGGGGTTACTATTTACAGAGGTATTTTTTTGCTTTATTTTTGTTTCAGCATGATAAAAATTAGATTTTAGAAGTGTATTGCTTTTCTGAGATCTGTAGGAGGAGAAGAATATCTAGGAGGACTTCCACCCCAGTATTAAAAAATTAATGGCCTGTGAGAGGAAACTGTAGCCAGGCTCCTGTTGTTACATAAAGAGAAAACAAGGTGTTTACACAGAAGTATGATGTTGACTCTTGTGTATTATGAAAAGATAAAAGTACCAGTACTAACAAGCTATTGAGAAGGAATCACTTGTTCAACTTCTTTACTTACTTAGTGATGAAACACCGAGATACAGTGCAAGAGCAGTAACAGGTTTAAAGCCAGGAAAAGCCATTTGATGAATTGATGAACTCACTTGACCTCCTGCATCATACAAGAGAAATACTTTCAGGCAGTAGTTTCTGTCACAGGATTGTACTTGGTTTTTGAGCTATACATGCCTTTTAGGAAAATATCCAGGTATGCTGACCTAAAGATTGGAAATGTCAATGTACACAGACAAGTTATTCTAACACTTAACTTGCTCTCTGATAGAAGTGTTTAAAAATTGTGAAGAATTGAGTTATTTTCATTCACAGCAACTGGAAAGCTTTGGGACAATATTTAGATACCTAGATAAGAATTTGGGAGCTCAGCTGAAACATTCCGTTTTGAAACCTTGGCCTAAAGTTAGTTACTTAATTTGGGCTTAGGCTATCCTTTGTCTTTTTTCAAATAGTAATACTTTATGAAATATATGTGTACTTTTCCATTTTGGGGTAGATACCCCTGGGATCTATTTCTGAAGCTCTAGTGCTTCAGAAATAGGAGTAAAGCTATAGTTAAAAAAAAAAAAAGCTTGGAAGAAAACAAAAATATTTTTCTTCACAATGTAATGTAGAAAACTGTATACTTGAATGCTATTAGAGGAAAATAATTTCCTTGAGTAATTTTGTCATTGAAAGTAAGTTACTTGAGATATAACAGTATATGGTGCATAATTGGGTACTAGCTGTTAAATCATGCAGTTTTAGAGGTAATTTATTGTTGGTTTCTAGTATAATTTATAATCATTCTGTTAAATGTTAAGTTTGCAAGGATTTCTCTAACATTCCACAAAACTTGAAGAAATTGTTCAGTGCTAGTTTTGTTTGTGTTATTCTGTTTCATTGTACATTGAAATAGATTAGAAGCATGAACACAGTAAACTGCTGTGTCTGTTTAAAGTGTGGTTATTAACTTCAGAGTGGTGTTGATCTATTAAAATGTCTTATTGTGATTGCAAGAGATTAAGATTTAGTCATGAAACAGTGGAAAGGTAATTTCTACTTTAAAAGCTCCAGTCGGTCACAAGTCTCTCATTCGTCAGAAATTTATTTGAAAATAATAGAGCAGTATGAATTGACATCTAAATTCTGGACCTTCCCCTCTTTTTTTTTGGTGTTTGTTTTGTTTTTGGTTTTTGTTTGGTTGGGTTTTTTTGGTTTTTTATTTAGTAGTAGCTAAAATGAAGGACTGTCATTGTCCGCTAATTTATTAAAAATAATTGGTAAAACAAGAACTTCAGAGATGCAGACCTTAGTTGTAAAAGTAGTACTTTATTTAAGGTTACTGGCTTTACTCCTGGATGCTTAGTTTCAGTTTTCATTCTTTCTTCCTTCCTGTACATTTTTCCTTTTTTTCCATAGCTTGATCTACATGCGTGGTCAGAGAGAGTAGAAAACTGATTTGAATCAAGATCTTGGCCACACCTGCTTTCTGCACTTGTGTTATCAATTAATTCTCTGTCTTTCCATAGATTTTTGTCTGTGTGTTTGGTGAACAACAGAAGAAATTGTAAAATTTAATGTAAAACTTCTTTTTCCCTATTAATTATAAGTCATAAGATGTTAATAATCCTGAAATTTACAGCTGATATTGAATCTTATATTTGCTTTTCCTAGTAATTTACTTTGTGTTATTACATTCTTATTTAATACAAAGTATATTTGAAGTGTGCTTTTTTCAGTGTTGCTAATACCAATTCCTTTGCACTGGAAGTTGGGGAGTAAACCTTAGTTTAAACAAATGCTTTTGAGTTTCAATGCAGTAGCTTAAAACTTCTATAGATATGTTGCTCTCAAATACTTTGACTCGTATAAATGAAACTATAATTATCAAGTGAATGAATTGTGTTTTGTGCACTTAGGATCTTTGCTTAAATTTGGTATTGATAAAGTTCAGTGATCACAATGGGTCTTCTAGTCATTAAGTGTGAATGAGAGAGGGTTTACTGTGTTTTGTGTGACTGATGTATTTCCTTCCTTTCTGCCTTGACTACTTTATATATTTTCTTCTGCACTAATCTATAAGCAGTCTCCTCAAGTGTCCTACCAACATTTTCAGTGGATGTATTGTAAACAAAAATTAACCCAGGTTGCTTGGGAGCCACACTCGTTTTGATTTATAGCTACCAAGATGGTCTGAGGACAGTGGTTATCTGTAGCTTATGTAGGGGGTAGGAATTATCAGGTACCAGTGTATAGTGGCTAGATGAATGATTTCTATTCTTACAGATATTAACCAGATCCATTCCTCAATAAAGACTAATAACTCAGATTTTTAAACAGTCTTCATGACAGATGAGGGCACAGAGGAGAATGCATCAGCACTAATTAAGAATGTTGACCATTTGTTCGTCTTAGCCATGATTAATTGATCTGGGAGTGCTATCTCTGAACAGGAAGTGGTGTGCTGTTACATTGTGAAGTTTAAAGGTTACATTTTAGTGTACCCTTTAACTTGCCTTTGCAGGCAACCTAAAATGTTTTTACCTATCTTATCTGAGTGCAGAAAGAAACATTTTCCACCCCAGATACGAGTTAATATTTGGTGTACTGTGTACTAATGTGAATCTGGCTGGTAATGGGACATGCCCAGTCTGCTTTTGGACTCTATTGCTGCCTTATATACTTAGTCTCTGAGTACATTTTCTGTACTCAGAAAATTTCTTCATTAATACTCATTTTGAGATTCTGGCTTATTAAAATTCAGAGCCGTGTATTCACACTCTTGTCCCTCCCAGCCTCCCCCAGCTATTTTCTGTTCTTGCTTCCTGTGGGCTTGTACTTTTTAGGTATTTCACCTGTAGTTAAGACAAGCGTTGAGCAGGTAATGCAAAGACCCCTGTTCTTTTGAGTCTTGTGCCTGATTAAACTGAAGTTCCTGTATGCCTGACAGCGGGTCTGGTCACCTGAGCCTCACACATGCTCCTGGGATTGGAGGGTAAACTACTTACATGTAGAGACTCCTTCAGAAAGAGAACCTTGTCCTGTGCTACACTCAGTTTACCAACTGATTTGAATAAATGT